AGAGAAAATATATATATATATATATATATATATATATATATATATATATATATATATATATATATATATACATATAGATAGATAGATAGATAGATAGATAGATAGATAGATAGATAGATAGATAGATAGATAGATAGATAGATAAAGTGTAGCTTGGTACACGTCTAGATGCGTGAGATATTCGTAACTATTTATATCATGTACGCATGTGGTGTATGCTAAAACAATTATTCGCACTCATCTCGGCGTCGGTAAATAGTGCAAGGTTACTCATTTTAACGCTCCGCTCCCCCCAGCCATGCATTAAAACTGACCTCAGCTTTCATTTACATTTTAAGATCTAACTTTCTTTATCTAGATGCAAACAATGACGGCGATGCATATGAAGATGAGCAACATGACTTCAGTATAAATTAAATATTATTCATTCTATAGTTAATTGATTTTGAATTCGTTTACAATACGTTTTACCTTCACTAATTATACTATAGGTATTAGGATGGATTCGAGTGCAATTTGAAAAAGAAACATGCACGAGTGAGTCTTTCAACGGCGATAAAAATTATGCACGAGTGCAATTTAATGTGAATAACTCACGAGTGTACATGTATGTTTTTCCAAATTGCAAGAGAAACCATTATTTTTGACGCAGTGAGCGACCCTGAAGGGAGCGAGCAAGTCAGCAATTCTAATTCGTATTGGGCTCTGAAAGTAAGATTTTACTTCAGATTTTCCGACCAGAATGCACTGCTGGGGGACCTCATTAGTCAGTTTATATAACGATCCAGTTGTTTCGGTGTATTTTGTATTCATTATATGGTATGTTGATTTCTGCCTGGTCTTGCAGGGTGTATAAAAAAACGCAACTTCGGAATTTCCCAAGAAATTTCCCAAGAAATCGACATTGTTTTAAGGACAAAAGATTTTAGGTGCCTGGGAATCTAATTTATCTACAATAGCATAACTGTCAAAATTACTGCATACTCGCAAGTGCATAAAGCAAAATTTATGCATTTATTTAACAGTATATAACAACAGTAATATGATCTATTAGCATGGAATATTTTTTATCATTGATCATACTTTTCTTATGTCAGGCATGTGTCGAATGCATTAAAAAAAAGTCTCTAGTTTTCGAAGTAACGTGGATTTTATTTGACGTCCTTGGATGAAAGTTTTATCTCATGTTGTTCGGCATTCAAGTGCAATTTTCCAATCTATTGCCGTTCTGCAGTCACAGATATTAGAGTAACGACATAGGATAGTAAAATTAAGAAATAGTTTATGGTTAGATTCTCATGTTTCGTGCACAATAAAGCTATGGCTAGGGTTGGGTTGTGATTATGGTCAAGATCAAAGAAATGTATTTGTGACCGAAACAAGGATTTATTCATAATATCTACAATTACAAGATTACAAGATTACAAGATTTTTATTAAATACCGGAAATATAACTATTGCATCATCACTGTCCATAAATAGCAAAAGCTAGTCGAGATGGACAGTAGTTTACATTAAGCTTCTTAATAAACAAAGAATAATCAAAGAATACTGTACTTCATATAGAAAGAGACAGGAATAGGGCATCGACGTGCAAAACAATTATGCTTTACCGCATATAGCTTTGATAATAGCCAAGACCGAAATCCGTGATGTAAGATCAAAGTTAATGATCTTAAATTTTGATTTATGTTTCTAAAATCAATTTTTGGTTTTTCCAAAATGCTTTAATATAACTGAGATATCAATATATTCATCTTGCATTAGGAGCTTACGATTGTATTTAACCTGCATGAGGTTGTTATTATAGAAAGATGAGGCCGTTTTTTATATATCTTCAAAATTAAGGAGCAAGTCAGCATTTACTACTGATAAGTATAGTAGTAACATTACTTTTTAATAATATAACATTACTTGTTAATAATATAAATGAAAAGTTTACACGCGTTTCGATAACACTTGTGGGGACAACATTGGGTATACTCATGTAACTATGTACACAGCCAGAAATCTCACAGGCCTGTCGCAAGCTGTTGATTTTACCGGCTTGCGGCAAGTTGTCAACAAGTCGCGACAGGTCTGTTGGTTTCGTCAGGCGGTAACAGGCTTGCGGGAACAGGTCTGTCGCAAGCTGTTGACAACAGAGCCGTAGCGACTTGTTGAAACAATCCGCTGCAAACCTGTTACTAACAAGAGATAACAGGTCTGATAGAACAACTTGCAGCAAGTCTGTTGAAATCAACAGGTCTGTTACAACTTGTTCCAACAGACCTGTCGCGAGTTGTTTTTGTCAAGTCTGCAGCAAGCTTGTTATCAGACCTGCGACAAACCTGTCCACAACAAACAATTTTTGTCCTGTCCCGGCTTCACTTTCTCATTCAATCATTGTCATTGGTGGCAATATTAAATCACATAGGGGTCATTCCACGCCAAATCGACTAAACTTCCTGCACAAGCATTACAGATTTAGTTGGTTTTTGGTACACTTTTAGATCATTATATAATTAGAATTTGTGTGAATTTTTGTTAAATGACATTAAGTATTTCAGGAAATATAAGCAAAACAGTGCGTGATTGTCAATGGCGGAAGTCGCCATTTTGACAGAATTTGTAATTTCGGCATAATTCGCACATCAATATCTCGTTTATCACTCAACATATTAAGACAAAAATTGGTAGAGTAGTAAATCTGAGACTGCTCTTCTAAACCAATACATCGTTTAATGTATGTAATGAAGGATGTCGTAAATAACGGGGGATCAACATACTGGCAGAATGGAAAAAATACAAATTCGTCGTAGATTTGAACTATAATATCTTGGAAGATATCTGCCTAGGTGCATTCATGTTATCCACACATAAAAACAAGCCTTCAAAGAATTCTTATTAGCAATAATAGCCCGTTATAATTAGTCAGACGTTAAAAATACCGATTTAAATTGCGGCAATTTTTGGATGTGTCTTCTTTTCGACGAGGGAAGTAAGCATGTGGGACTAATCGGACAAACTCAAGATTTCACTGTATTAAAGTAAATGTTACGCTAAATCTGTGGTAGAAATTTCATTATTGTCCTCTGACTGGTTCGATGTTAACGAGCGATCTAAAAATTGGTGTTTTTCACTAATTGAATTCATTCAAATGTAAACAGACAAATTATTATTATAAACTAATAAATAATAGTGATTTATTAACTAAATTGACATTTATGTCAATTTCACCAAAATGGGCAAAAGTCATACAACATATCGCCAAAATATTGAAAGTACTGGAACGGAACATACTGTAATTCTATGACTATCTCTGTACGACTATGAAGCAGTACTGATCGACTACTTCTTTATAACTAACAATTACACAACGCGTCCAAATTGTACGTACACACGCTGACACGCATCACAAAATGTATTTATATATATATAGTGATTACATTATTGCACAGTTGTGATGTCATGACCATACATAGCGACGTCATATATAAAATAAAACGTTAAGTGCATATATATATAAAATAAAAAGTGAATTATAAAAGGTACGTAAGCTAAATATTGGAGAAATAAAGATTATATTGCTGAATAATTAATTAATTATATACGTCGAATGGCAAGCAAGCTTGAACCTTGTTCAATAGGTATTTTACTCGGCTCAACTGAAGATTGCCACAAGACTACTTACGCAAGGAAAGTTGGAACCAATAAGTTGGCGGCTCTACCGGCGGACGACGTCGAACTAATTGTACGAAGGAGCGGTTTAAAGGCAGAAAATGATAGCGTTATCTGTTTTCATCATGAAATGGTTTATTTACGCAAGTATGAATTTTTGCAAAAAAGTTGTTGTGATCCCTTTGAAATGCATCCAACAACGGCAAGGAAAAAGTCCTTACGCATAATAGATATTGCAAACGCGGACAAAATTAATAAACTCGTTGTGAAAGATATCAAGCCTGGTCAAAAACTGTGCCCAAAATGTTCATCTCATCTTGGAAGCATCGATGAAAGTTGCATCGAAGAAGATGAAGAGTATAAGCCTGAAGTTGAGGACGAGTTACATAATCTTGCCGCCACATTTAGCTCCCTTGGTTGCACTCCAGTTAAGACTAAATTCGCACAGAGAGACCGTGCGGTGTATGCCAAACGAAAGGTTAAAGAAGCGCAGACGGCTATTACTGACGAAGTTGCTCGTAGTTTAAATGTTGACTCCAATGAACTTCAAACGTGTCAAAAGTGCACAGACCTTGACGCAATTATAGAAGGGATCAAAGAAAAATGCTCCACTTCAAACATGGAAGCCACACTAAAACTTATCACTCTTGCGCCGCCTTCTTGGACAATAGAAAAAACCGCAAACGAGTTCGGTGTATCTAAGTTCATGGTCAACAAAGCTCGGAAATTGAAAAAGGCGAAAGGAATTTTACCCGATATAAGCCCAATAAAAGCAAGGAAACTGTCGGAAGAAAGCAAAACGAAGGTCATCAATTTTTACAACGACGAAGAAGTATCGCGAATGTGCCCAGGGAAAAAAGACTTCGTTTCCGTTAAAAATTCAGAGGGGAAACGAATCCATGTTCAAAAGCGACTCTTGCTTGCTAATTTACGTGAACTGTATTTGCACTACAAAGAAAAATCAAGTGGTGAACACGTTGGATTTTCCAAGTTTTGTGAACTTCGGCCGCGTTGGTGTATTACCGTTGGAGCGAAAGGTATGCATTCGGTATGCGTCTGCGAATACCACCAAAACGTCAAGTTACTGCTGGATTCTCTCCCTGGTCCAAAACTTGATCATAAATCCTTAATGACGAGACTTGTTTGCGATGTCAGTGAAAGAAACTGCATGCTTCATCGGTGCGAGAAATGCCCAGGTTCTGACGGTCTCAGAGAACACCTTCAGTCTGTCTTTTTGGAACGTTCAATCGAGGAGGACGATGAACTAACTTTCAAGCAATGGACGCATACAGATGGCACACGACTTATTACAAGACAGGAACTTGCGTGTGACCTCTTGGAGGAGATCGTTTTGCAAATTAACGCTCTAGCCAGCCATAGCTTCATCGCGAAGGCACAAGCAACCTACCTTTCACAGCAAAAGGAGTCGTTAACTCGAGGCACTGCGGTTGTTTTGCTCGATTTCGCCGAAAACTACTCATTTGTTGTTCAGGACGCTGTTCAAGGTTACTACTGGGATAACAGTCAAGCTACACTGCATCCACTAGTTGCCTATTATCGGAAAGAAGATGGCAATCTCGGTACAATCAGTTTCTGTGTGGTCAGTGATTGTCTGAAGCATGATGCTACAGCTGTGTACGCAGTTATCAGCGTTATCATTGTTCATCTCAAGGAATTAATAGTCCAGGTCTTTCGTTGGTGAGATACTTCAGTGATGGAGCCGCCAGTCAGTACAAGAACTGTAAAAACTTTTTAAATTTATGCTACCATGAGGAGGATTTCGGAGTGAAGGCGGAATGGCATTTTTTTGCAACAAGTCACGGGAAAAGTCCATGTGATGGTATCGGTGGAACCATTAAGCGTCTAGTCGCCAGAGCTAGCCTTCAAGCTACGACAGGGAATCACATTCTCAATGCTAAAGAACTCTTTTCGTGGGCAAAAGCTAACATTTCGGGAATCGAAATGCTTTTCGTGAGCACTGAAGAAATTGAGAAATGCGAAATGGTCTTAGAGTCACGTCTGAACGACGCCAAAAACATAGCAGGAACAAGGAGTCACCACAGTTTTGTTCCAGTCAATTCTGATTCTCTGCAAATCCGGCGAATTTCAGCAGATGTGGATGGAACATCCGTTAAAGTAACAAGTTCGTCTCAGGCACAAACATCTCAATCGTTCACACATGGTCAGTGTTTAGCAGCAGTTTACGACAAAGCCTGGTACCTGGGTGTCGTAGAAGATATATCGCACGAAAATGAAGACGTCCTCGTAAACTTTATGAGATCTCGTAATCCCGGCACTACAATCCACTCGTTCGTATGGCCATCAACACGAGATGAATGTTGGATTCCTTTTGAGCATGTGCTATGTACCGTGCAAGAGCCGTTGCAGATCACAAAGGGTCGAATCAAACAATACAAACTTAACAGTCCAGCAATTGAGATGATTGAAGACAGCTTTAACAAATTTTTAGATTGTTACTACAATTGACCATGACATCTCATTGGTATTCATGTTGAAAATAGTTAAAAACTGATTTGTAATTTAAACTTGAGAAAATCAGTTTGTACAAGACGCCCGACAGGCCTTCTCTAGCTCCATCTACGGGTGAACTGAGGTATTAAGGAGTGTTCATTATTTAGGGTTTCGGGGGGGGGGCGGCATTTCACACTTCCTCCCTCTCAATATCTACATGACCCCCCTCTGGCAACGGCAAAACTCACATGACCCCCCCTCCAGAAAAGACAAAAGCCTTTATGCCCCCCCTGTTTTATATAAAACACAGTACAAATGTATAAATATGGTATGCACAATATTAGTTAAAAAATTAAAAAGTCTTTATTTTATGACGTTAGTAATAGTGCAAAAGCTCCTGTAAACTTGCATCCATTTAATAATTCAAATTTTCATGTTCATGTTCTACAGATATTTTAACGAGGTCAAAACATTTGCCAAAACTAAAACTTTTATGACCCCCCCTCCCCCCCTCAATTACTCTGAGGCCCCCCAAAAAAACTCTGGTGACCCCCCAAAATACAAACACCAATGTTTTTGCCCCGATCGCCTATGATTTCACCCCAATCATAAATAGTAAGACACTCCTAAAGGGAACAGCTGATCTGCAGTACTATAAACTGTACAATATAGCCTAACAGCTACTATTTAGTTGTTATTAAGGTAATTCAGCTATGCACAATTTACTCTAGACATTCATAAATACATGGTCGAAAAATATCAGATAGCTTTAATTAATATTAAGACAATTAACATTCTGATGGAAGTCACTTTGGCGTGATTGACATTTGACATGCATATAAATAACAATTGAAAGAATTATATTAATATTATTCATCAGGCGATATATATGGACGGTATAAAGACTTAAAATGAATGTTTTATATCAATTATTTCTCACATTTGTGACTTTTTGGCGGACATAGAGAATACTAGAAAAGGACCAGTAGATTGATAACAAAATCACCGGCTTAGTTACTGCGCTTCATGCAATTCAGAATTTGTTTGTTTACACTTGAATTCAATTACTGAATTAGTGAAAAACACAAATTTTTAGGTCGCTCGTTAACATTGAACCAAACAGAGGACAATAATGAAATTTCTACCACAGGTTTAGCGTAACATTTACTTTAATACAGTGAAATCTTGAGTTTGTCCGATTAGTCCCACATGCTTATTTCCCTCGTCGAAAAGAAGACACATCCGAAAATTGCCGCAATTTAAATCGGTATTTTTAACGTCTGACTAATTATAACGGGCTATTATTGCTAACAAGAATTCTTTGAAGGCTTGTTTTTATGTGTAGATATCATGAATGTACCTAGTCAGATATTTACCAAGATATTATAGTTCAAATCTACGACGAATTTGTATTTTTTCCATTCAGCCAGTATGTTGATCCCCCGTTATTTACGACATCCTTCATCACATACATTAAACGATGTATTGGTTTAGAAGAGCAGTCTCAGATTTACTACTCTACCAATTTTTGTCTTAATATGTTGAGTGATAAACGAGATATTGATGTGCGAATTATGCCGAAATTACAAATTCTGTCAAAATGGCGACTTCCGCCATTGACAATCACGCAGTGTTTTGCTTATATTTCCTGAAATACTTAATGTCATCTAGCAAAAATTCACACAAATTCTAATTATATAATGATCTAAAAGTGTACCAAAAATCAACTAAATCTGTAATGCTTGTGCAGGAAGTTTAGCCGATTTGGCGTGGAATGACCCTAGATAAAAACTTACTTTATCAGAATCCGTTGCTCCCCAAGTGAAACAGGTGCACAATTGGGAGAAAAATCCCTCCAAAGTTTGATATTTTCGCGCTTCGAAATATTCGAACCGCCATTATTTTGGTAGCAAATACGCATGCGCAACTCAGTCAAACTCGCACTGCGCACGCGCAGACTATAAAAATAGATTCTCACTGGGGGGTTTCCCCGATTTCCTCCGCAAAAACAACAAAATAAAATCACAGAATACTGATCAAACTTTGTAATATAAATACACCCACATTAAATATTGTTAAAAACACATTGTATATTTTGCTTGCTCATATGCTAAATCACTTCAATTCATTGGCTATTGTTTCAAAATACCGTTTAATTCTACTTTATATTAACATCCTAATTCAATACAAATTTGTGTGAGGTAAAAAACCCACCTGTATCAAACAGGATGGAGAATAAAAAATATATATGCATACAATTCACACGATCAAGGAACAATTAAAATGAAATATTTGTGAAACACTCTTTATCCGTTTGCCGACGCTGATAAGACAATATGACATACCGAAAGATTGGAAAGACAAATAATATGATCAGGGGCGGACATATCGATTTTGACTGGGAGGGTGTAATCACGAAATGAGACCGACCCACCACTGAAATGCGAATCCAGACCGACTCTTGGTGAGTTGGTGTGTTGCAATAAATCGAGTACAAAGCATGGAAATTGATGGCCTTTATTATGAATCTTGCAAGAACACGTACAGTTTGCTGTGAAACGTTATATTTTTATTAAGTGTCTGCGCTTACTGCTTAGTCAGGTTTGACCACGGATTAGCGATTTCGTCAAGATCGATCGTGTCCGGTACGCAAGAGTCAAGAGTTCACCAAGGCGTTCCTGGTTTATTTCTGAACGCATGACAGTTTTCACTGATTTCAGCTATGAAAAGCTGCGCTCGGCTGATGCGGATGTTACAGGAACTGTCAGGCGCGCAACTATAGGATTTTTGATTGACCGAGACACTTCTGAGGGGGGGGGGTCTGGGGGCATGCTCCCCCAGAAAATTTTTGATTTTCTAAGGCTTAGAAACGCTATTTCCTGCATTCTGGGAGCAGTTCAAATGAAAAATCAATTTCATAAACAGTGACACAATGACTATAATTTTATACTGTAGTTTGCCCCCAATCCTGAGGATAAGAATTACAAATATTTTTGGTCGAACATCATTGATCAGGTGCTGGGCGCTGGCCCGCACTTTTGTTATTGGGGTACTTGTGCACCCACACAGCCTCACATTTCTTACGTCACTGTAGGGCAAGAATAATGCTTCTTTACATGGAGAGAACTACAGTCTGTCATTGAACTTGATAGTGAACTTGATTATGGGCCTGACTGTAAGCAACAATTGGAAACATCGCCTAGTCAGTGGAAACAATTTTTCGCTCCGTGATTTCAGATAAACCAGTGCGTCGTTCAATGATCGAATTTCTTGATTCAGTAGGCACATAAAACTCTTTGGTAACAAAATGCATATGCGTATCGTGTTACACGAGAACATACTTCCTAATATAACTCGGCTAGAAATCTGTTTTTGCACTTTGCATCTTAAAAATATAGTTTAGGGACCGGAGAAATATTGTAACTAATGTTAGCTATTTTGATCGAGATTCGTCGCATTTTGGAGTCTGATTTTGGGGGTTTGAAATTTTCGCTAATATAGAATATCACCCGTGAATGACCTTGCTGAACCTAAATTCCAAATAAAAGTGCCAACACGTAATCGTGACATATAGATACCCATGTTTGGAAAGTAAATGGAAACTTCATCCCTTTGCGCGTGTTTTGACTGATAATTCGTTCATAAACTCGCGAAATAAGTACGTAATATTTCTTCATATTATTTCTGAGCTGTTTGATCTGTTTGAGCAAATTTCCAACTCAATACTCAATAGTTTGAGTCTATCTCGAGTTGCGAAAATATTTCATTTGCTTCGCAAAGCACTGTATGTAAACAAACGCATAATTTTGAGACCGACTGCACTTAGTTTGAGACCGACTGGATCATTTCTCTGGGGGGGTGAACCACCCCACACCCCCCACATTTACGCCCCTGAATATGATAACAGTGTTTCCAAGTTCATCCCGGGCTTTAAGGGATATTTATATAAACTCGAAATTCATAAAAAAAAAAAATTAGGAGGAAATATAAAATCCATAATTTCATTATAGCTATCTATAATTGAAAGAAATGTTTTCATCTTTGAACCCAGATTTTCATCAGAGCAATAAAATCCCGCTTATTGGATCCTGGCCAAGGGCTTGCACGCTCAAAACGAGATTGCATGTATTCTGCAATAAGCTGTCCTGGCTTTTGTCTGGTAAAGTTTTACTTCTCGTATTTGAACTATTTCATGTATTATATTTATATTGTGACATAAGTTGGTATTTAGCCACTATCTAGAATAACAAGGAACGATTCAGCCTGGTTTTTTGTGTCCACACTAGTTGACTTTTTCTTATAGATTTGCTGCTGTGAGTTTCAACTTCTCCATCAGGGTGCGTTTTAGCTTCTCAGACATGACCATACTGTTAACCCTGTCCATGAGAGGGATACATGTGTTGATAATATAAATACTGTGGATCCTAATGAGAATATCGAATAAGTAAATAAATACTGATCTACTCCACTGATAATACCTACATACATTACCATCATTGTTCACCTCAAATCATTAATAATTCATGAGCAAATTAGCCAACCATATTGCTTTATTTTGCTCACATGATAATACTGGATACGTTATGAAGTATATTGATCCTGTAGTGGCCTAGGACTGGATAAAAATTAATTAAGTAGTGATTTATTCGTACATGAGATGTCATTTCAAATCCTCCAATTCGGACTGGACTAGAATTCAAGTCCTCACATTTTGATCCAGTCCTCTGCTTCGCCTCGGACGTGATCAAATTGCGTGTACTTGAAATCTAGTCCAGTCCTCATAGTCGGATTTGAAATATTATCCATTGTCAAATCAGATGCCAATGGTGGCCAAGGAAGATTCAGTTTTGGTATTTCTTGCACCTTTTGGTGAAGAATCAATGCAGCATTGTATAGAATTTGTAACTCATTGACTTTAGAATTTCCCTCCGTTTCTGTGTTGGAATTCACATCATCATCATCATCAATGGTACAGCTCTCTTCATCAAAGTCCTCATCATTGTTTTCAGACTTAG